TATATATATATATATATATATGTATATATATATATATATATATATGTATATTTCATGTACATTTTTTCTTGTATTGCTCACTTTAAATAAAATATTTATTCATACAAATTCATCATGCTTGCCCCATTATATTCTACCATGTTGTTTTTTACTATCCGTCTTTGGGCATTGTAAATATTATAATTACCTTTTAATTTTTTTGTACTTTTATTTTTGTTCCCTTATTTCATGCTTTAGTAGTTCTTGTTTGTCTGTTCTTTGATGTTTTTAGCAAGACAAATTGGTTCTTCTTGTCATGAGCATTTCATTGTACTGTTAACCGTGTGTTAACCTGCATATGACAAATAAACACAACTTGAACTTGAACTTGAACTTGAGTTTGTTGTGGCTTCTCGGACTGATTATGTTCTTTGGTTGTTTCGAGGAAAATCAACACAACAACTCAGACTTTTCAGCCTATTTTCCTGTTCCTCTCATTGGTTCAGAGATACATGGAGAAAAGACACAATAATCAGTCAGAGATTCAAGTTAAAAAGTATTACCAACATTTATTAAAGTTTTCAGCTGAAAGGAGAAACTCTTAAGCCCCCATTATACTGCCGCGTACGTCCGTTCACGCATATGTACGCGTGTACTGTACGCACAGTGTTCAGACATGATACTCCAGCGTTCACCCCGAGCAGCTGCAGAGCAGCTTCACAGACGAGGGGCGTTTACCTTTGGGACAAATTGAGGTCGCCGATTGGTCATTTGCTGACACGCCTACTGGATTGATTGACAGGTCGGAAAAAAGAAAAAAGTGAGCGCTGGCAGCCTCAGCCGCAGCGGTGTTCTGTGTTTATATGTTGTTAATAAAAAGATCTAAAAAATAAAAAAAAACAGGGAGTGCTGGCTCTACAGCCCACACATCAGACCAGCCCACCAGGAAATCTCCAGACCCTCCAGCAGCCACGCTGGACCTGAGTTTAATTCTCTCGTGACAAATTCCTCCATTTCTCACCATTTCAGTCATGGCATCAATGGAGGAGGAAGAGATCACTGCCTCTTGGCAAAAATCAAAAGAAAAGGCCAGATCAGGGATGAAGAAGAGGAATTTAATACATTGGTGTCGCATACAAAACAGTCCGTCGCTGGGCAGTTTATTGTGCGACACCGCGTACACGTATGCGGTCGTAAAATTTGAGCTTTGCACAGACATGCCCTGGGGGGTACGCTCGTACCTCTGCGTACGTACGTGCATACCTCTGCGTATGGACGTACGCGGCAGTATACTGGGGGCTTTACCCCAAACCAACAGAGATACAACAAAAACCCAAGTCGCGTCTGACCGGAGCTTTCATGTTCCTCTGTATTTAAACACAAAAGCTCCACCCAGCGACGTGTCACACATTCTTACAGCTCTTTGTCTAAACTAGTTCAAACTGATGTCTTCATTTCCTGGAAGCCCTTTTATGGAGTTGTTTTATTATTTTCTTCTGCCGTTCCAGTTTACTGGTGATCTTGTCATCAGGTGGGACACACACCAGCTGCTCCCTGTTAGTTCATGTCCCGTACACAAAAACTCAAATACATTCTCTGACTTAGTTCAATCTGTACTTGTTGATACCAAAAGACAAGCAGATACAAAGGACAAGATACAGTTGTGATACATCGAGCGATACAGCACAGCAGATAAGAGCGTCTTTACAGATGATAGATGAAACGTTTCATCAAAAAGAAACTGTCCAGAGGACCTGACCTAATTTTACTGGATTAGAACAAGGTGGTTTTGGGAAAAAGCAGGTTAAATTAAAAGCCTAGTATTCCTTTAATGGTTTATTACTGCATACTGCTTGCCGCCTTTCATACCATAGTTTTAGCTAAAGATCATATACTGAGAAAAGACAGAGTTAACATAGCCACTTTGGTCAAATCCTGGTTTAAACTCTTTCCCACGATGAGGGACTGCCTTGTTTTGCAGAGTTTACTATAAAACCTGTGGTTATTTTATGATCATTGTTCTGTAAGAAAATCCAAAAACTGGGATAAGACTTAATATTGGCAGATCCATAAATCTAAAATGTCTGATCCTCTACAAACAAAGTGATCAGACAAAAAATGAAAGCTGGACATTTTTTCCTCCTTTGTAGAAATGTTTCATCTTTTAACCAAAAGACTTCTTCAGTCTGAGGAGCTGCAACAAGGTCAGTCTTATAAATAGCACCTTCTCATAGTGGATCAACCAGCTTGTTGTTGAACAACAGAACTAGCTGTTCATATGTAAATTGAGGACCTTCAGCCTAACAATGGATCGTTAGCACCCTGATAACCACTTGCTATTCACAGGGGACTGAGTGATACTAGCAATAACAGCTTTGTAAGATGGGGACAGTTGAACCTGGAGGCCTCCACCCCTGTTTAATGATGGATGCTTTCTCTTCACAAAGATGGCCTCCTTTACTCCTCTCTCAATCCATCGTTCCTGGATCCGATCCAGGATGTGAACATCTTCATCCCTGAAAGAGTGACCTCTGACCTTGAGATGAGTGTAGATCGCAGTCTTGTCCTGATTCATTCATTCAACCTTTATTTAAACAGCTAAATCACATTGAGCCTCAAAGACTCATTTACAAGTGAGACCTGTTTGGACAGACAATAAAAGTGGTTAACTGGACACATATAGGAATTGGAGGTGAAAAAATTCCTCTCAGACTTGTTTTTTCCTGCCTTAGAAGAAAAAAAACTCTATTAAAAAAACACCTCGCACAAACAAGCACATTGTGTCGGAGACATTCTGTGTGTGTGTGGGGGGGGACGAGAGTGGTGAGCATGATCATAAAGGCTCTCGAGGGAATTGTAAGCGTTCTGATAAAGATGTAATAATCAGTCAATGTCCTCTAATGAGATCCTTAAACATTCTCGAGGTATGTTGAGGAATGGCCAAGAATAACGACTATGAGAATCCAAGAGTCCTGAAATGATGACACAAAGTTTATTCAGCTGGTTTAATCTGGTTATCAGTTGGAAATTCCTCAGGGAGGGGGTGGTGAGCGTCAGATCACATGTTCTCCAGGCGAATTCAGATAAGATGACCTTCAAGGCCAGCCAAGGGAGCCAAATTCAGATAAACACACAGTTGTTTTGGGGGCAGGCAGAACTTAATGACATCTACCTTGAGTCTGTTGGTCCACTCGGTTCCGAAATGTCCAAATTACATGGCCACACCCAGGGCCGGATTTAGGAGGATGGGGGCCCCTGGGCTGGAGTCAATACTGTATATGGGGGCCCTATATATATACATA